GTTTCAGAGCTGCATTTTACGTCTCATTATGAGCTGGGGGGCACCTGTGTGCTTGCTAGTCAATTGAAGCTGTCACTCAAGCTGTGTCTCCCAATAAGTGGAACATGGTGTAAAACATCAGCAGCTCTCCCTCCAAGTACCAGCAGGTCCAAAGGGAGGATCATTAGAATTCGTGACACTGAGTGAACCAAATCCAAATAATATTAAAGTCAGGAGGGGCTGCAAATTAATACACCTTTCCTGCATCTGCTGGCGGCTGGGCATTCTGCTCTGCTCTTGCCTGGGTTTGCCCATGACTAATAGCAGGCTCCAGGGATTTGCATTAGTCAATCATAAGTAAAAAGCCCATTAAAATGACATTCTCCCCATCATTATAACTTCAGTGAGATGCACGGGATTGTCAGAGGCATTTCCTGGAGCTGCCTGGTAATGGGTTTGCTTGGCTGCCTGTCCACTTTGGCAAAGGCCTTCCGCTGAGTGGGGCTGATGAAAGCACACAGTGCCCCGAGCCTTCATCCTGCCACACCGGACTGCATGAACTCTCCTGCTTGCCACTCCGTTATTTTGCCCGCCTGGCTCTGTGCCTTGTAACCCTCCACCCTTATTCAGATGTCCCCTCCCAGAGACTCTCCCAGGATGTACTCTCCAGGTCTAGACCGGAGGCTCTCACAAACACGCTACATGGGCCCTCTGCCTTTGCCCCAACACATGTTGCACGGGACTGTAAACTGATTATATTTGTTTGACCTATGATCCTGGAAACTGGGGAGCAGAAGTTCCTTTTTGAGCTACTAATCCTGGGTATCCAGCGCAGAGCCTGAAGTGTAGCTTGTGCTCAGGAAGTCTGCTCCAGAAAGAAAGAAACACATTTGCACTGAGCATTAGGACACATATTTTGTTTCAGAAATGCTCAATACGTCAGGACTGCTTGAGTCTTTTCTGGCCAAGATCAGAAAGTTCTGTAACGGTTCTGGAGCTACTGGTGGCAAACCCAGTAAGGTCTTTGAAATAAGATATCAAGATAAAAGATGAACAGCACTTGAGATCCAGAGAACAAAAAACGGCAAAATCTTAGAATGAAAAATCTTCCATAAAATGGATCAAAAGACCAATTAATCACCTGGAAGTTTTAAAAGATCTCTAGATTTTTCTTCTCCCCTTCCTTCTCTCCCTTCCAACACCGCTCCCTCACTCCATCAGTCCCGTCTTTGGTCACATGTCCATTCCCTTCTATGCAAACCTTTACAGGGCACCTACTGTGTGCTTAGGGCTCATCTGCACTGGGAATTCGGAAGTAAGTAAGACACATCCTGCTGTCCAGGGTGGCGGTACGAAGGGAGCAGAAAAGCAAGAGAAACGGTCACTATGATATGGTAAGTTCTGGGGTGGAGTTCTGCTTGGAAACTGGGAGCAGAGAGAAGGTGCCAATCACCCAGGGGGGTGGTCTGGATGGATTTTTAGGGAGAGGAGACTTTATTGCATCCAGGCATCAAGTGAGTTACATTCAAGAAACTTCTGATAGGGTTCTGACCACACAGGGAGCTGAGTAAGGAGAAGCAGAGATCTGTGGGCGGGCTCTGCACACCATTGCTTTGCTGACTGGGTATTGTTGATTCCCTATGCCTAGTCATGGGACTCCTTCAGTGGGAAGGCATCTGTCCAGGTGGGCTGGGGCTTCTGAACTTAAATTTATTTCTTCTGAGAGACAGGAGATATGTAGAGATACAGGCACCCCTAACCTACACTATGGTCCACATTTCCCCCAGACCCTGGCCCGTCTCAGCCAGTCTGCATCAGAGCCATGTGTGCAGGTGCCCGGTGTGCTGAGTGAGGTGCTGGGCTGTTAACCCATCTGGGTCCAGGGACATCACCATTATGCCACCACCTGGCCCTTTTCCTTTTCCTTTTTTTTTTTTTTTTTAATGTTTTTGTCGTAGGATATACACACTCGACAGAGAGAGACAGGGAGAGACAGTGAGAGGGAAAGTGAGAAATCACCCCTCAGGGGGATGGCCATATTGCAATCCTTTCCACATTCTTCTGGGATTTTGGTCAGGCATGCACACACACACACACACACACACACACACTCAACAGGATGTTCAATCCTCTGGGTCCAGGACTCAAACTGCAGTTGGCCATGTGGGAGTCTGGTGCCTTTACCACCACACCACCTGCTGGCGCCCCTTTGCATTTGATTTTTTAATATTAACTTATTCCGTAGAGGATTGTTATGAACTAAATTGTGTCCATCTGAAATTCATATTTTGAGAACCTAACCCCAATATATTTGGAGATAAGCCTTTAGGAAGTGAGGTTAAATGAGACCCTAAGTGTGGGACCTAATGTGATAGGACTGGTCCCTTACAAAGATCACCCCGAAGGGAACCTCTCTCCATGAGAATACGGCGAGAAGGAAGAGAGCCCTCACAGGAACTTAAGCGGCTAGCCCCTTGCAAGTCTAGATCAAGGTGGGAAAATAAGTTTTCTGCGAGGAAATCAATTTCTATTGTTTAAGCCACCTGGTTGGCAGTATTTTGCTAAAACAATCTGAGCAGACTAAGGTAAAGAGAAAGACAGAGCTTGAGCAAAGGGAAAATTTGACAATCTCATGGGTTTTATTAGGACTATGAACATTTCGCATTTATAACCATTTCTGATCCCTAAAATATTTTACAATTTCAAGTATAAATGTTTTATATTTCCAGTTAGCAAGCTTACTAAAAAAGCAGTGTGGCATAATAGGAGGGAGCAATTCTTACCATAGTTTGGTGCGTGACATTGGGCAAGTCACCAGACTTCCTCCTGCCACGTGGCAGCGCTGGGAAGGACGGGGGCAGGAATGAGAGTGATCTCATACACAGTGCCAGGCTCAGGCAGGCGCCAGTAGGTGGTAGTGGATGAGACCAGGGCACTTTGGAATGTGTCAGTGAGTCTCAGTCTCTCCCTAAATTCATCACCTTGGGGACGGATTTTATAATCGCTAGATTCACTATATCTTTATCTGTAGAACCAGAATTGCTTTGCCTATTTTTAATTTCAAACTCCATGACTTCATTTGCCTGTATCAATGCTTCTCAAACCCTTCCTAGAAAAAGCTGCGGGGCATCTATAATTATCTTGGCCAGTATAGCAATGTTCTTATTAAAAACAAACAAACAAACAAACAAAAAACCCTCACGATATGGAATTCATTTAAATTCACTTCAATTTGTATTATATATTTTAAAACATCCCATAAAAGCCATATGGCACTTTAGGACATAGCTGAGAGGTTGCTGAGAAATCAAATAAACAATGCGAAGATTTCACAGTTGTTGTAAGACCCAGAATTCCTAACTAAGAGCTCAGATGCCATATTTGCAGAACACTGGGACCCAGCAGGATGGGATTTCCTGGGAGTGGATTAGCGCTTGCTACTGGGCTCCCCCAAACATCTTTCCCATCAGGTTGACACTATGATCTGTCATGTTGCCTCAAGTTCCCTCACTGAGAGGTTCCCTGGAGTTTAGGAATCTTCCTTTTAAACAGCCTAGGTGCATGCTTCTTGCTTCTGTGAGGTTAAAAGAGGGCAGCCAATCATTCGCATCAGGATGTGGATTAGTTCTTGGCTCCACTGGGGCCTAGACACTTGGCCAGCAGAGGAAGGGAGGAGTAATAAGGAGGGAGAAGGGAATTGATTGTGAAACAGCTCAGGGTACAGTGAGGCAGGTAGTAAATAGACACAGGGGACTTTGGAGAAGGAAAAGCAGACCGAAGACCCCACAGCTCTTGGCTCGGAAGATGGGTGAGACAGAATGAAAACAACAAGGTTCTGGGCTCTAGGCACTCAGGGTCGTAGAATGAACATGACTTCAACTGCTTCAGTAAGCGGCACCCATTCTCCACTCTTCCGCCTATCGGTATTTTCTCTCTTGATCATTTTAAACCATCTAACTCCCCATCGCTTTGAAATCTTAGCAAAACCCAGCTCTGAGCTTCGGCAGACACTCCCTTGGTGGCAGAGGCACCCAGAGAAGTGAGTGCCACCTCCACAATCTCGATGCTACACAGCTCTCAGAAACAGACGCTTCAAACCTTTGGATTCCAACCAACACCCGATTTATCATTGGAAAGCGTGACACAGTGGCTCTTGTGATCAAAAGTCATGAGCCTCTGGAGTGAGTCATGGATTTTTCCACGTCAGGAAAGAGCACACGCTGCTCACGGCACTCTGTGTCACTGTGTACTTCAAAGTCCTCAGGTCCCTGTCTTCAACCTTGTGTCACCAAAAGCAAGCTGCTCCATCACCCAAAGAAAGTAGAGCCCGAAAGGGGAAACACAGAGTGTTGATGAGATGAAGATGTGCCAACTAAGATCATAACCCAGCCCTGGGGACCAGGAGAACCAACTTCCTGTGAGCTCAAGGCAGAGCCAAAGGATAAGACGTGTGGGGGTAGGAAGCGTGGCCCTCCACCTCTGCCTGGCTTTAAGAAGGCAGCTTTCATCCTGGCTTTAAGATGCTTTGTATCTCCCTGAGCTGAGTTTTCCAGAAATCACCAAGTGCCCAGAACATCATGCGAGTTCTCTAAATATTGGTTAACTGGGGGAATTGGTCAATGGGGTGTGATCACACTGCAATCCCTTCTCCAGCTCTTCATCTTGTCAGAATTTGGGGCATGCATACACAGTAGACAGAAGAGGAACTGTTCTTTTATTTTTTTAAAAATAATTTTGAAACTTCATTTATTATTATTACTATTGTTTTGAATTTGATCAGAGAGAGACAGAACAAGAGAAGGAAAGTGAGAAAGCAAACCACCAGGGCCAGGACTCAAACCGTGGTTGGTGGTCGGCCCGGAGTCCAACGCCTTAACCACCACGCCACCTTCTGGCCCCAGGAGTTGTTCTTTAAGACATAGAGAAGATACATTTTGTTCTGCCACTGCCCTTATCACTGGAGCAAACTGGTCACCCTGCAAAGGCACATGTGGGCGTAGGGCATGAAGTGAGCACGTTACCTGGTCCAGCTTCCAGTGGAACTCCGCGGGGCGGAAAGTGTCCGCCTGGTCAAAGTCCTTCCGCAGGAGGAAGACAAGGCGGCAGTTGTGCACGTACAGGGCGTAGTGATGCCGGTTCATTTCTGAAAAGCAGAGAGAGGGGTGGGGAGTGAGGATGCCTGTGTCAGGCTGTCAGCATTATCTTCCCACCATGTCACTTAGCACAACTGAGGACAATGGAAAGGGGATCTGTTTTTTTCCCCCACCATGTCACTTAGCACAACTGAGGACAAAGGAAAGGGCATCTGGTTTTTTCTTTTACGATCGGTTCTGACGAATGTTCTGGAACACTCGTGGTAGAGCTCACCAAAGTAGGAGACTTAGGAAAGCCCATAGCAAAACTTTAAATACCATATAATTTATACCAGATCCTGAATCAGATCCAGGGTTAAAAGTACTTAAGTTAATAAGCTCTTTTGGGGGGTGGAAAGGGCGAGTTATAAATCCTCCTAGGGGCGTGGACAGGGCTCTTTGCGAAACGCCTCAGCTGCTCTGGGCTGCTTCAACATAGTTGGCTTCTCCTAGAGTTCTGGGCTTTTATTTCATTTCATCAGGTTTGATGACAGCGTATCTCCACTCTCCACCTAATCTATGTTGAAAGGAGATGCCTTACTTTTAGTTGCTGGGAGGAGAGGGCCAATTGATTTTCCAGCATTAGACATAGTTCTGTGATCCTCCAAAGCAACAAATAAATACTCTCTTCCCATATACAGACAGTCAATGGGAGCTTTTCCTTCCCTAATGGGAAAACTGCTTAGGAAATTTCATATCATAGATCCCAGCTATGTGCCTGCAGCTACAAGAATTGGCAGAAGAGGAGCTGCTCTTCGATGAACACTTGGAGAACTCATATTTTCCTAATGGTAGCACGCACAGACTTCTACACAGAGCCCATGCTCCATAAGTCTTGGGTTAGTGGGAAAGTGACCAGCTATGGGAGAAGAGAATGGGACCTAGATTCAGACAGACTTTGGATGGAACGGTATCTCTAAGTGATGTTGGAAGAGTTACTGAGCCTCTGAGAGCCTCCATTTCCTTAACTGAATCATCCATCAGAGATGCAGGGTTACCCTAATGGAACATAAGAATAGAGCATTGTGGAGATAGCCCTTTAACCTAGAAGTTAACGGGAGTCAGATCTCACATGGTCAACCATGGTTTGAATCTTGGTCCTGATAGATTAGGAAACACAGCAGGCGTGTGTGTGTGTGTGTGTGTGTGTGTGTGTGTGTGTGTGTGTTCCAAATCCTGACAGGATGGCGAGCTGGAGGAGAAGGAATTGCAGTGTGATCATGCCCCATACATAATGTGCTTTCACTTCTTCCCTCTGGTCTCTATCTCTCTCTGGAGAGTGCTTTATTGCAATTAAAAGAAAATAAGAACAGGATATTATGATCAATTCCTGTACATCTAGCAAACCATGCCTATGAATTTTGGGTGGGAGGAACTAATACCAATCTTACTTCTAGGGGTGGTCCCTGATGAGTCCTAACCCAACAAACAGGCTCATGCAACTCCCCTGCCACAGTGGTTGGCTAGGAACCATGCCCGAGTCCAGCAGTGCAGGCCATTCTCCTGGCCACTGGGCTTCTATCAGGAGCTGGCAAATGACTCGAGTGAGACCAGTGATGTGAGTGCTTTTTTAAGAGGTTCTGGGAAGAGCCTATCTCCCCTTTAACAGACAGTGAGCAGGAGCAGCACTCTCCTTCCCTCTGGAAGTTGTTGTGTGTGCCTGGGAGGTTTGGAGCTGCTGTAGCCCTGTCTGGTCACATAAAATCAACATGCCCTGTGCATAGATCTGAGAAATTGCAGAGAAAAGAAACCAGGACTTGATCACACCTGACCTTTATGGTGACTTTAGGAAGCCATCATAGCTCTGGACATTTTCAGATATAGGAAGCCCACATTCCTTTTGTTTTTTTTTGACTTTTTGGTTATCTAACATGAGTTTGATCTGGACTTCCCATTCTTGTAACTGAAAGCATCTTAACTAGTACAATGGGGAATGTGTGTAAGGCAGCTGCCCAGAACAGATGCTCAGTAACTGTGATTATGAAGTCACTTACGCTGCCTCACGACCATGACAGCATAAGGTAGAGACTATTTCTGCAAAACCCTCACTGTCCTTCAGAATGTAACCAAAGAACGACAGGAAGGAGAATGGCCAGTAGCCAACTGTGACAGGGCCGGCCTAGGCCAAAGTCTTGGTGACCACCCTTAGCCTCTCAATGGGCAAAACACCCTGCTGGTTATAGGTATTTTACTAAATACTCTTGTCCGCTCTTAATTATATCATTGATTTTCTGTAGTTTCTGTTGAAAACTGTTAGGAAAATATGGAAAAATAAAACACAAATCCTTTCTTTCTTTCTTTCTTCCTTCCTTCCTTCCTTCCTTCCTTCCTTTCTTTCTTTCTTTCTTTCTTTCTTTCTTTCTTTCTTTCTTTCTTTCTTTCTTTCTTTCCTCATTCTTTTCAAGGGTGGGGTTAGGAGAGACAGAGAGAGAGAGAGAGAGAGGGAGAGAGAGAGAGGGAGAGAGAGAGAGAGGGACTCTCCACAGGATCATGCCTTGCTATGATCCTTCCCCCAGACTCTTAGCCAGGATCATGACCTGGGAAGGCACACCTGTCATGATCCAAACTGGCCCTCCTGTGTGGCTCCGGTAAAAGATATACTTTTCTCCTCTCAAGCTTGAGCCAAGGTTCTGCAGCCAACAGTAGAGAAAGGATGGGTTTTCTGTTCTCTCATTTTCTCATCCTACCTCCTCATTGCTCACTTTCCTCCTAATTCCAATCATGGTTAGGTGTGAAAGAAGGCAGCTTGAGTGAGAAAAAGGTGTAAAGTCTCTTCAAAAAGTCTGTGGAAGGGACTTACAGATGGTGTAATGGCTATGTCACTGGACTCCCACGTAGTCAACTGTGATTCGAGTCCCAGACCTGGCAGCTTGAAGCTCACGCAGGATGCATGTGCTTGTGTGCCCAAAATCTCAAGAAGAGGATGGAGGAGAAGGAACTGTGGTGTGGACATTCCCCCTCAGGGCTGATTTCCCACTTCTCATCCCTCTATCTGCCTGGCGAGTACGTGAGCTCTATGGCAAAAATCTCTCTAAAAAAAAAAAAAAGTTCATGGAATTTGTCATTTTCTCATGGGTGCTCTTTTTTGTTTCTTCTTCATTTTATTTTGGTAGGGTTTTTTGCCTTAGGGCGCATGAACTTGCTATAGAGGGAGACAGAGACAGTGAGAAGGACAGTGAGAAATCATACTCTGGACAGATGACCACGCCACAATCCCTTCTCTTCCATTCTCCTGAGATCTTGGACAGGCACACACATGCACCCAGCATGAGTTTCAGGACCAGATCCTGGTGTTCAAACTGCGGTCAGTCATGTGGGAGTCCAGTGACGTAACCACTATGTCATCTGCTGGCCCCTCCCCATGGGTGTCAAAAGTCCTCCGTCATGGGAACCAGCAGTTAGCGTAATGGCTATGTTGCTGGACTGCCACGTAGTCAACCGCGCCCAAGATCTTGAGAGGAGAATGGAGGAGAAGGGATTGCGGCGTGACCATCCCCCCTGAGGGGGTGATTTCTCACTTTCTGTCTCTATGTCTCTCTCTGTCTGTCTGGTGAGGGCACGCACCCTATGGCAAAAACCTCTCCAAAAAAAAAAAATATTCCTCTGTCATGGCAGGTGTCTACACATAAGCTCCTTCACTAGGACATGGATTCATTTTTGGAAAGGCTCCACAGAGGTCTTCACATAGCCACTGTCATCCCCCACACTCCCAGTAAGGATAGCCCAGCTAAACTCTTCATGTTGAATTTGATATGGTAGTGACACAGTCTCTTTCTAGATGGTCTGTTCCAACCTCCCCTTTGTTGGCCCTACCTCCCCATTCCTGGTGGGAAGGATACTCCTTCTAGTCGACCTTGCATGACTCTTCCTGAGCTCCTTCCCTCTCTTACTAATCTCCTACTAAACACTCATCCTCTCCCACTGATGAGATCCTCTACTCCTGGCATAATCCCTCTTGTCTCGTGTCTTGCACATTTCTAGAAACCTATTTGGCCCACAAGACCAAGAACCAAAATAACCGTGTTTTGCCAAACTGTAGTAGAGACCTGCTCTCCCTACTGCTCCTCCTACCTTGCCTTATCACTGAGGTAGCCCCATCAGCCTCTGGCTTTCAGGACCCCTGGGCAAGAGTCAGGCCCCAGCCTTCATGTATGCTTCAGTCCTGGCGACGTGAGTCAAGCCTTCCCAGGACTCTCCTGGTCCTGGAGTAGATCAAAGAGTATTTTCAGCTCAACCAACAAGTCGCAGCAAGTGAGGTCTCTGCCTCCTTTCTACAGCAGACAGCCTCCTCAACCTCATCCTGGTTTGGGGCATCTCTGGGAGAGGGGCAAGCCCACTCCAGTTCCTGGCATACAGGGGGACCAACCTTGCATTGTCCACCAGGCTGACACCTTTGCCTCTCTCACCTGGTGACTGTTAAACCAGTGGACCCCTCTTGCAACGCCTTTAGGGAAGTGGCATGCACTAGCACTTTTCCTTCATTGTTCTCAGTTGAAACCCAGCAAGAAAGAAGTCTTCCTGCCAGGAGGAGGGGATCCCAGCAGGAGTAGCAGGCCTGTGGACAGGAAGCTATTACTGAGAGAGGACAGGGGCTGAGGGAGGACCAGGAACGGCGGTTTAAAGAGCATCACTCACACAATGGGGAATGGGCACAGAGGGGCCAAAAAAGGTGGGTTTGGAGTGAGCACGAGAGCCCGCACAGTGGTAGAGACACTGCTGTGTTCACCTCGCCCTGTTTCCTTTGCTCCAGGATGCACAGCTAAACGCATGTCACAGCCTCCACTATGGTACACTGCAGCAGTGAGACCATGTCTCAGCAAGTGGAATGTGAGTGAAAGTGAAACGTGACACTTTCCGTCCTGGCCAATAGCCCTTCTGTGTTCAGCTCTGTTTAACCTCCTCTTCCAGGGTTGAAAATGGCAGCACCCAATGAGACAAAAATCACCGATCTCTGAACTTCTGGGAAAACAGAGCTTTCCCACCCTCCTGCCTACCCAGGGCTACTGGTCAAGGATAAGAGGAAGTCACATGAGAGGGTGTTAGCCACCGAGATTTTCTTTTGTTGGTGGTCATGGAGATAGCGGTTTCCTTTTCTCTCTCTCTTTGTGCCATCAGCCTTTGCCAACTAACCAGCTCTGTGATCCAGCTATTTGTGCATTGCTTCAGAAGATGAACATTAGTACCTCTTAGGGGACCAGAGAGAAATAAGTGCATTCTTCCTGAAGGGTAGTTTGGCCACTTACATCGACGGCTTTCCTAATGTTTCTAATCTTTGACTCAGTATAATTCGGTTAGTCAGCAAATCATCAGAAATGTCTGAAAGGTATACAGAATGCGCATTACAGCTTTGTGTGATTCGCATTTAAAAGATCATCTAAATACCTAACAAAGGAAGTCACTTAAATAAAGTCTGATAAAATCACGAGGCAGAGTTTTAAACTGCCATGCAATTCACATTTTGGAAGAAAGTTTTATCATAGAGAAATGATCTGGATGTCATTTTATGGAAAGAAAACAGATAACAGTATCACAGGGATTATGAAAAATAGACAGAATACCATGAGGACTGTCCACTATCTATAGGAATACAAGTACCATCGTAATGTAATATACTAAATGTTATCAGAAAATAGCTCCCCAAATGTTAGGCTCTGAGGTGATTTGTGTATTTTCTTTTATACTCTTCTGTGTTTTTCATATTTTGGCTATAAACATATATAAACACATGTTGCTTTTATAATTTGAAAATATTTTATAAATATAGGCTATAAAAAGCCCTAGTCAAACTTTAATTTATTCCTTAAATATATGTATGTGTACACACACACACACACACACACACACACACACATACATTTATTTTAGAACACAGAGATATTTATAGATTTTTTTTTAAGAGCCAGCGGAGTTAGAGAAAAATCTCCCCATCTTCTCTGTGCCAGTTTTGAGCTAACTTGTAACTGTTATTTTAGGTAGGAAGGACCCACACTGAACAGCACCAGGGCTTGCTGATTTGGGGAGCCCAGTGCCTGTCTGGTGGACTGCTCTGATGGCACTGTGGCATTGTCCCCCAATAGAGTGTTCAGCTATGGCTGTCTAGCAGAATCCCTCTGAGGTCCTGAGTTTGAGCTGAGGTAGGGTCCTGACATCAACATATTCTCACAAGTGTGCTAGCTTATTCTAACGGGAACACTGGTGCCATGGTGTGACTCTGGAACATGAGGTCAAAGATCTAGGTCTGACCCTACTTTTCATGGTAATCGGCTCTCTGATCCTGGGCCAGTCATCCAAACATTCATACACCAGTTTCCTTCTCTGTAAGTAGGAGCATTTATATGTGCCTGCCCTGCTTCCCAAGGGTACTGGATACGTCTCAGAAAGGACCATATGTTGTGTGGTCCCCGACCCCAGCTTGCTGCTGGGGTTCACATACACATTCCTAAGCTGGTGCCTCATTGCCACACTGGCTGCTGGACCATGATGGGAGCACACCACCAGGTACGGATGCACTGGGCTGTTGAATGGTCTCAAACCTCAGTGCCACCTCACGCAGGTCTGCAGGGTCCTGCCTGCACAAAGGGCCCACAGAAAAACCTGTCACTGGCATTGAACCATAGCTGGACTTGCTGTATGGCTAGAAAGTCCAGCTACTCTGCCTCAGTTTCTACATCAGGAAAATATATTGACATTTATCGTAAAGATAATACGGGGATTCTTACAGCAGCATAACATGGAATAAAAGCAGAAGGAAAAATAATGATAACATTAGGTAAATTAATGGAATAGTGATTATATATTTGGTGCTAAGTAACTTTGTACTTTATAACATGTTTATTTTCCCTGTTTTACACAGGGGGAAACTGAGGCTCAGAGAGATTACCAGCTCTTCCAAAGTTTATCCCAAGAAATGGTCAAGGGACCAGCAGATGGCATAATGGTTATATCGCTGGACTCCCACATAGTCAACCATGATTCGAGTCCTGGACCCTCCAGCTTAAGGCTCATGCCCAAGATCCTGAGAGAAGAATGGAGGAGAAGGGATTGCAATGTGGTCATCCCATCTGAGGGGTGATTTCTTGCTTTCTGTCTCTGTCTCTCTGGTGAGTGCACATGCCCTATAGCAAAAATCTCTCTACGAAGAAAAAGAAAAAGAAAAAGAGAATTGGTCAAGCCAGATGTGAGTTTGGGCTATCTGACGGCAGAGGCTGGGCTGTCAGCCATTCTTTTATTTTGTTTTCTTACTGTTATATCTGTGATGGTTATTTACTGTAGCTATTCCAACAGAAGGTAGGATATCGTGGAGTTATAATTAAAGACATAGTTATAAACTCGCATAGTCTCACGCACACACGTGTGTATGTGCATGCGGAGTGTGGCAATGAGAACATGGGATTTGGAGTTATTTACAGCTAAGTTGATGTGTGTTTTTAATCCTTCACATGTGAGTTCAAATAATTCTTTTATAAAATTGTTCATAGAAAGCTGAGAAACTGTTTAGACTAGGAATAGCTAACACAAATCCCAATTCCTATATGTCAGATACTATTGCAAGCACACCATGTGTATTAAGTCATTTAATCCTCAGGGAAACCCTATGAGGTAGATAATAGTATAATTCTTATTTCTTAGAGCATGAAAATTAGGCACAGAGAGGTTAAACAATTTGCCTAAAACCACACAGCTAATAAGTGGTGGGGTGCTTTTAACCACCAAGCTGCGAACTGTCTTGCATGAATTCTGCATGCTGAAAATGCAAACGCCTAACAAATATTAGCTGTTATTACTGCATATGGGAATGACGGTTAAATTACTATTTTAAACTAGTAGGGCCCTTTTTATCAAAAGAAAGCTTGTGGGAATCTTTCCC